TCCGTTGGCCTTCTTTCGTGATCAATAAATAAGTGAAAAGAGCGAGAGGAAGCAAAGCTGCGAAAGGAAAGGTTTCCGTTAGTCACTCACCGAGTGCGCGGGAAAGGAACTGTTCTGCTGGAGGAAGGAGTTAGAGACGGACACGCTGAGACCCTGGCCCGGGCCGACCTCCTCGGAGGCCAGGGGGCCCTTAGATGGCTGGACACAGTAGGAGACAGAAGAGAAGGGAGCAGGGAAAATAGCCTGTTGGAAGGAGAGAAAGAAAAGGAGCGAGGGAGAAAGACGGAAGGAAAAAGGACCACCTACATCGACAGGAGATAAACTCAGCGCCTGCCTTGGGGCGGGGTTGGACTAGAGGGCCTCTTAAGTTCCCATCCAAGCGCTACGGTGCTGTATTCTTGTTCTATACAGGCAGTCTTAGACGTGCAACAGTTCATTTAGCGACTGAATAACAGAGTCGGACGGGACCTTGGAGGTCTTCTAGTCCAATCCCCTGCTCAGGTTGTCCTCGATTTACAACCATTCGCTTAGTCGCCGTTACGACGGCACTGGGGGATAAAAAGCGACTCGGGAGCGTTTTTCACACTTACGACCGTTACAAGCATCCCCGCGGTCACCTGCCCAGAATTCAGAGGTTTGGCCGCTGACTCGTATTTATGACAGTCGCAGTGCCACGTGATCCCCTTCTGCGAATCAACGGGAAAACCGGATTCACTTCACAACCGTGTCACTGGCTTAACGGCCGCCGTGACTCACTTAATAACGGTGGCAAGAAAGGTCGTACAAAGGGGGGGAGGGGCCAAACTCACTTTGCAACTGTTGGGCAAGCTGTGGTCATAAGCCGAGGACTACCTATACCTGAAGATAGTTGGCACACCCGCAATCTCATGCCAAGGGGTGAATTGTTTCATATTTGCTTTCGGAAAAACGTGGCGAGAGATGAAAGGGGAATGGATAAAGATTTGATTTTCGTTTCCGAAAACAGGGAAAAAGTAACAAACAAACAAAAAAAAGGTTGAATTAAAAAAAAAAAACCCAAATGGAATAAAACAGAAAAAAGGAAGCAGGCAGCCCTTAGAAGGCGAGAGAAGAAACAGAGGAACCGAAGGCTTAAATGCCAAGACCACATCGCTGGGGAAACTGAGTCAGAGAACATCACCTCCTGGTTATTTACATCCCGATGCTCTTCATCCTCCAAAATTTGTTTGTTGGTTTATTTTATTATTTATTTTTTTTTAGAATCAAGCCTGACTCCCCTAGGTTTTAGGAGAAGTATTTTGAAGGGATCTCTTTGGGAATCTGCTGGTTCTCCCTGACGTGATGCCTTCGGGATCCTTGGGTCTTACAATTTTGAAATCGCCGATGAGTTTCTCTCTGGTTACAGATTAACAGAGTTGGAAGGGACCTTGTAGGTCATCTAGTCTAACCCCCCGTACAAGCAGGAGTCCCTACACCATTTCCAACAAATGGCAGTCTGGTCTCTTCTCGAAAGCCTCCAGTGATGAAGCTCCCACAACTTCTCTTCCATGGGTTGATTCTTCTCACTGTCAGAATATTCCTCTTTATTTCTAGGTTGAATCTCTCCTTGGTCAGTTTCCATCCATTGTTCCTCGTCTGGCCTTCGGGTGCTTTGGAGAATAGGTTGACCTTCTTCCTCCTCTCTGTGGCAGCCCCTCAAATGTTGGAAGACTGCTCTCACGTCTCCCCTAATCCTTCTCTTCACTAAACTAGCAGGCCCAGTTCTGCTGTGGCTCCGTTGCCTGAGCCTGGGCTATCGACAGATGCAGACTCTGAGAGTGAGGGAGAGGAGTTGGCAAGGCCTCCCTCTCCAGGACCCTCCTCTCTGGCAATGCCTCCGGAGGACACCGAAGGCCAAAAGATAGGCCCAGAGCCAAGCACGTCCCCACAGCCACAGGTGGACAGCGACGAAGGAGATAAGTGCTGGCTGGACCCTCGGCAGAGGCGCAGGGAGAAGCGTGCCCAGCAGAGGGGAAGGCGTGCCAGAGATTAGCTGAGTCACTGGACCACACCCCACAGGGTATAAATGTGGGTGTGGTGGCCGTTTCAGTTTGTGACGAGCAAAAACTGGAAATAATCCATGATCTCTGCGTTACTGGACTTTGCCTGCTTTATCGGACTGCATTTGGATTAATCCTTGCATTGTTGAAACTCTGCCTGTTTTATCAGAATGCTTGCAGTCTAATCTTCGTTTTGTGTGAGTAGAGTCTGAATTGGCAGCTAGCCACTGGGTTGCTGCCAGCTTTATCTTCAAAGAGTTTTGTCGTGTGGCTTATTAACTCCGGGCCGTCTGTGGGGGTATGTGTGTGGTACAGGGACAGAACAAGTTCCTGCAACCATTCATTGTATGTTTCAGCCTCCAGTCCCCTAATCATTCTGGTTGCTCTTCTCTGCACTCTTTCTAGAGTCTCAACATCTTTTTTTTTTTTTATAGTGTGGTGACCAAAACAGGATGCAGTACTCTAGTGCGGTCTTACTAAGGCTTTATAGAGTGGTAGTAGAACCTCCCTTGATCTTGTTCGCAGCTTCATCACTGGAGGTTTTCAAGAAGAGACTGGACAGATGGAATGATAACGAGTTTCTTTTTTTCTTTTTGCTTGGTTGGACTAGAAGACGAAGGACCCTTCCCACCCTATTATATACGTCAGTTATGGAGGTGAAACTTGGAAGGCGGCACCGGCTGAGGATGGACCAGGGAACATTCAATAAAACAGCGCTCACTCTCCCCAGGATAAAACCCCAAAGCCAAGAGATGTCGACCACGGTCCAAAAACAAGAGACTCCGCATTTCTTAGGATGGGTTCAAGAAGGAACTTGAACCAAGATGGGGGCAGAAGGAGAATAGGGACTCACCAGTTGCCTCTGTTTGGGTGGGAGAGCTGGAGGTGGGGCCAGATCCTGGCCGGAGACCGTGCTGCTGAAGGAGTCACTGAATCCATAAACCTCCATAAGGTGCTTATTCTTCTGCTGGTAGATGTGCTCGTTCTGCGGGGTCTGGTAGAACATGGAAGGCTGAGGTTCAGAGTAGTCCTCTACAAACTGCATGTAGGCCAACACTGCAAGAGAGAAAATGGACACGTGGGGGTGGGGTGGAGTTGTCACCTTCTCGGTGAGATGCTCGGAGAGATCCTCCTCAACGTCAGCGTTCCAGAACAACCCAACTCCAATTAAAAACTCCGAGACCAGCTTCATCTCAGATCCTTCATTTATTGGTCAGGGATCTGCAACCTTAAACACTCAAAGAGCCATTCGGACCCGTTCCCCACAGAAAAGAAAACACCGGGAGCCACAAAACCCTTCCCGTGCCTGACTATTTCTTGAGCGGCCACAAAAACTAGCATATGTAGTTGAATTAAACCTTCTGTTTTCTTCTGAATTGGATTTATTCATGGTTGGCCTACCGGGAGTTGAAAAGCTCAATAAATCACGTGCCGGTGGGTGTTGCAGATTGGCGCGTATTTTGAGTGACGGGGAGCCGCAGCAGAGGGGTGAAAGAGCCACATGCGGCTCCAGAGCCACAGGTTGCTGACTCCTAGGTATACTGGCACATCTGGGAAAACCCGAATCTGAGTTTTCCCCTCAATAAGTCAAAATCCAGCCCCTGCACCCATTGGTCTGTCATATGGGCCAATCCCCTTCCGTCCTAATTTGAGCCACCTCTGCAACCGCTCCTCCTCCAGATGCAGGAGGACCGAAAAGAAGAATGCTATTATTCTTTTAAAAAATCCCCCCCTCCTTCCTACTTTCCCATGCGCAAGAATGTGGCAGCGTGGAAGCTTCCGAGGTTAATATGGCTTCCAAAGCTGTCACTCCCCCGCTGGTTTGGGTGGAGGGATTCAAAGAGGGAAGATGTGAAATTAAGAAGGCTTAATCATAGTTCCAACTGGGACCATCCTAGACCAGTCTTTTCGTCACCACGAACCCTCTTTAGATACCTTTTGTGGCCATGGACCCCCAAGATTTGAACTCAAGATTTAAATCGTAACATTTCTTCAAGCCTTTACGGATGCACTGTGACGACCCTCAAGTTGAGGGACCCTCCATTGTCCTCGACCAAGTCCAGAACCAGCTAGGACAGTGATGGGGAAACTTTTCGGCACCGAGTGCCCAAACTGGAATGTGCATGCATTCCGGAAGCACCGGAAACCCGAATTTAAGCTGGCCGGCGCATGTATGCCTGTTTTTTGGGCCATTTTCAGGCTGTTTTTTAGACACCAGAAGAGCAACCGGCGATGGCGCACATGCCCACAGAGAGGGCCCTGTGTACTACCTCTGGCATGCGTGCGATAGGTTTGCCATCACGGATCTAGGGAATTCCTGGAGGCTTAACACTCAGGCAAATCTGCCATCCACGGGCACGGTGAGATAAGCAACTTGTAGACACCATTCAAAAGAGACACAACCCAAAAACCCAAAAGGCAACAAAAAAAAGGTCAATATATCGTATCCGCAATCCACATTCAGATGACCAACCATCAAGAAGTAAACAATAACCCCAAGCGAGGAAGTAACAACTCAGATAAAGAAGCCAAGAATAAACAGCGTAGTGAAGGCAACAGACCAAGCTCCCTCCCACCAACACTGCCAGGGCAAGAAACAAGAGAGGAAAACCTCACTCCCTTCTAGTCCTGATGACGTTACCTAGTTGGGTCATGAAACATCCGCAAGAAAACACAACGGGACTCAGAGAGCGCAACGACCCTGAGCTACAAATATTCTCTTCCATTGTTGGTACAGGGGGATTGGGGTCTCCTTTTGCGTGAAGCCCAAATCGAACAAAATCCCAAAGTAATCTGAACACAGGCCGTCCTCGAGTTACAACAATTCATTTAGTGACCATTCCAAGTTACCTCAGCACTGAAAAAAAGCAATTTAGGACCGTTGCAGCATCCCCACGATCAGGCGATCAAAATTCGGACGCTTGGCAACTGAGTCATATTTATGACGGGGTCGTGTGTCCCCCTTTTGCGAACTTCGGATCAGCTAAGTCAATGGGAGAAGCCAGATTCACTTAACAACTGGGTTACTAACTTAGCAAATGCAATGATTCGGTTAACAACGTTGACAAGAAAAGTCGTAAAATCGGACACTTCACACGTTTTTCACTCAGCAAACCTAAATTTTGGGCTTCAGTTGCGGTCGTAACTCGAGGACTACCTACGATAATAAACATAAATCAGACTCAACCAGTCCAACGTAAAAATCCCTCAATTGCTCAACTCTTAACCCAGAGGGCAAAATTCTTATCCGGACAGACTCAAAAACAGACTCAAAAACACTTTCCTCTTCCTTTTTTTGGTGTGGTGTGATTATCCACAAATTGCTGAACCAGCATCTAAACAAATCAGGGTTAAGTGAGAGTCGCCATGTGATTAAACCAGCAGCTAGGCAAGAAGGGGAGAAGCGAATTTGGGAACTGAGGGCCGAAAATGACACTAAACCAACCTATATCTATATGTTTGTATATCTATATCTATGTCTGTCTGTCTCTCTCTCTCTCTGTCTCTCTCTCTCTCTCTCTGTCTCCCTCTCTCTCTCTCTCTCTCTCTCTCTCTCTCTATATATATATATATATATATATATATATATATATATGTTTGTCTGTCTGTCTATATCTATCTATCTCTATCTGTCTGTCTGTCTATTGTCTGTCTTTCTATGTCTCCCTCTCTCTATCCTATGATCGATCTATCTATCTATCTATCTATCTATCTATCTATCTATCTATCTATCTCTCTCTCTATCTATCTATCTATCTATATCTCTATCTGTCTGTCTTTCTATGTCTATGTCTCTCTCTCTATATATCTATGTTTGTCTGTCTGTCTCTCTCTCTCTGTCTGTCTGTCTATTATCTCTATCTATCTATCTATCTATCTATCTATCTATCTATCTATCTATCTATCTCTGTCTTTGTATGTCTCTCTCTCTCTCTCTCTTTCTTTAAAGTCCTTGGTAATCATACAATCTTCACGTTTCTGGGGAGGGAAATTCTTTAAAAGCCAACCTCTGGTTTTACGCCTGTCGACGTTGGGATAATTACTCAGATCTTGGTGGTGAATCATACGTTTGTCTAGTTTAATTTTGTAATTTCTGCAGGGGTGGGGAAGTTCCCCTGCTGTGGTTTTGGAGATATGCAACAGGCAGGAAGTTTGGGGCGCTATTTTGAAGAACTCGCTGTCCTACGATGAGAAGTAGAAGGCGGCGGGTGGGGGGGAAAATGTTTTAGATTAATCTTGCTAAGACTTCATTCTTTCTTATATATCTCCTAGGCTTTATGATATCATCCTGGGGGGAGGGAGGAAGGAAGGAAGGTAGAAAGAAGGAAGGAAGGAAAAAAGGGAGAAAGAGCCTTGGTGGCACAGCAAACTAAAGCACTGTTAAGTAACACCAGCTGCCTGCAATTAGTGAAAGTTCAAATCTCACCAGGCTCAAGGTTGACTCAGCCTTCCATCCTTCCGAGGTAGGTAAAATGAGGACCCGGATTGTGGGGGCAATAAGCTGACTTTGTATAAAAAAGAACACCGCTTGGGGGGGGGGGCAAAAGCCCTACTAAGCAGGTATATAAAAAAGTATGAAGGCTGTTGCTTAATGCCTTGTAAGCCACCCAGAGACTCCGGAGAAGGGAGGCATGCATAAATAAATAAATAAATGAATAAATGAATAAATGACTAATGAAGAAAGAAAAGAAGGAGAAAAGAAGGGAAAAGGAGAAAGGAAGGAAAAGAGAAGAGAAGGAAAGGAGGAAGGAAGGAAATGGAAAGCTATTTCTTTATATTTTCTTCTTTTCCTGTACTTTTGGCTTTGCCTTTTTCCTTCCCTCCTCTCTTTCCTTTATCCTAAATATTACTTCCCGTTAGCTTTTAATCTTCCTTTTTGAACATTTTAATAAAGTTACGTGTTTGTTTGTTTGTTTGTTTTAAAAGATCAAGAGAGCACTTACTGTGTTTGTTTTTCTTCTCGGGCAGAGGCGGAGGTTCCTCAGATTCTCTGGGCACGTTGGAACCGGAGAAATCAGCCAGGAATTCAACAGGGGGAGCTGGCTTTCCAGGCTGATAGGGCAGGACAGCCGCAAAAGGGGTGAACACCCAGGGCAAGAGCGTCGGGACGCTTAAGTCCTCCTCCGAAATGTTGTCGTATTGCGAAGGGTGCCTCTCCAGGAGGACCCGACAACCGGAGACGTCGAAGGCAGAAGCTGGTGTCCCTCTCCGCTTCTTCTCGGGAAGAGCTGGTGGGACCTCAACAGCCGGCGCAGCGGTTGGGGAGGTACAATTCTCTGGAAGTTGGAAAGATTGTCCATGAAACGGAGAGGCAGATTCCCGCAGGCCCTCTGGCAAAGGGCTGAGCACGCCAAGCCCCGGCTGGGGGATCTGGTCGGTGTTCGAGAGATCCTGCTGCAAGAACTCGTAATCAGGATCGTAATGATCTGCAGGGAAGAGAGTGAGAAACAATGTGAACAACAGAAGAGTTCGAAGGGGCCTTATAAGACACACTTTCCCCCCCAAAAGAGGGTGAAAATTTGGGTGTGTCTTATACACCATGTTCTGCCCACTCTTGGCCTCTGCCTCCCAGCAATTTGCCTCCTTGCAGCAAACAGCAAACAGCCCATTTCAGTTTCAGCTTCAGCACAATCTGTTTAGCACAAGCAGCTGATTGTCGGTTGGATCAGCCTCCCGACCATCAGCTGTTTCAGGCCGAGCAGAGACACCCCATTCTCTTTACCTAACGTTTCACAGCTTGTGTTGTGCGAGCACTGCCCACTGTCGCAATCCAACGAGGACAGTTGTTCGTCCGATTTGCTCAGCTTCCCCATGCTGCTGTAGGGCGAGAGGCGAGGAGATTCCCCTCCATAGGACTGGCTGCCCCCCGACAGCCTCCGTTGAGGGTAGCAGTCATTTTCAAATTCCTGCGAGTGGGAAGGAGAAGAGGTACGAGAAAAGTCAACCTGGATGTATATCCTGACAACACTCTTCAATTTTCTCTTTTGGAAGAAGAGATGCAGACAGGTACATTTTAAGTCTCTGAATCCAGAAAGGAAGTTGTTCCTTTTAGAGTTCTGAGCAGGTGGTGATGATCTTAAATTTGGACGTATTCTCCAAATTTGGCCGCTGAATTCTGCACAGGTAGTCCTTGACTTACGACTGCAACGGAGCCCAAAATCTCCTGTGGCTAAGCGAGACGGTTGATAAGTGTGTTTTCTCCCATTTCGTGACCTTTCTTACCCCGGTGGTTAAAGTCAATCTCTGCCGTTGTTAAATGAGTCACACGGTTGTTAAGTGAATCCAGTTTCCCCGTTGGCTTTGCTTATCAGAAGGTCAATGTTTTAACCGTCATAAATAGGAGTCAGTTGCCAAGCATCCAAATTTGGAACACATGGCCATGGGGATGTTGCAGGGTGGAAAATGGTCATGAGTCACTTTTTTTCAGTCTGCTGTACAGACGGTCGCTAAATGAATTGTAAGTCAAGGACCACCTGTAATAAGATTTTAAATGAACACAGCATCCTATCTGGAAAAGCCTCTTGGTCAGATATGGACGGTAATTTACCTGTTTGTTGATCCCAATGGGTAAACTGGAACCACTGGTCGTTCGGCTCATGGGGGCTACGATGGCCACTCGCGTAGGAGAGGGCGCCGACTGACGTTTCTTAGGGGGCAAGGCTGGTGGGAGGCTGCGTAAGATGAAGAAAAATTAAAAGATCGTTGTTAAGTGAGTTTTGCCTCAATTTATGACCTGGCTTGCCACGTTGTTTAAGCAAATCACTGCAGCTGTCAGTAAATTAGTAGCAGGGTTGTGGGGATTTTGCAGTAACCTTCCCCTGGATTGAGGAGGAAATGGGGATTTTGCAGTAACTTTCCCTGCCATGCCCACCAAGCCACACCCACAGAACCGGTAGTAAAAATTTTTGAAACCCATCACTGATGCAGTAGTAATCTTTCATCATTTACATATAGCCGTAATTTTTTATCTTCTAATTTCTACCTCTTTTATCCAACCGCTAAAACAAATCCCACGTTAAAAGAAATATTCTGCTTCTTCCTTGTCTTTTACTTTTAAGGTCAATCTATCCATCTCCGCACATTCCAGTATTTTTCTAATTATATTTTCATCCAAGCGCTCAAATTTTGATCACCGTCACCGTGGAGAGGTTGCAACGGTTCTTAAGTGTGAAAAACCGGTCGTAAGTCACTTTTTTTTTCAGTGGCCTTGCAACTTCGAGCGGTGTGGTGGTTAAGTTGAGCAGAGGCGGGTTTCACTTCCTGTAGCAACCAGTTCGCGCAGCATTGGAAATGTGAGCGGCCGACTCCAAATTCGCCACTACCGCCTCTGAAGTTGAGGACCACGAATATTCTGAAAACAGCCCTTCTTAAGCACCGGGAAGCCCAAGGACGGAATTATGACTTTCTTTTACAGGTGCATTTACCTGTTTTCAGCCACCCGAATGCAAGGAAGGGGCGGTTTCGGTGGGGCGACCTCTTCGTCGGTGGCATCTGCCAATGCTTCTGCGGTCGGAGTCAACCCCGCTGTTTTGTTGAGGATCTCCATCTCACGATCCGTCAAGGGAAGCTCCAACTGGCTGAAGAGGGGAGAAATGTGGTTGAGATGGAAGGAGCAGGCTGCATCACATTTGATGCAGGGCTGAGAGCGGATGTGTGGCACCAGCCAGCCAGGGAAGCTGCTGGCGGGCCCAGTCCTTCTTTAAGCAAGACGGCACATCGTTCCAACTCATGGAAATATATGTTGGCTAAGCTCTTCTCCTTCCAGGACTTCCTCCTTTGGTTTATTCATTTAGGGGGTTGTCTCTTTGGACATGGGACTGGGTTGGTACATAGGTAGAAAGATAGATTAGATGGGTGAAGGAAGGATGGATGGATGGATGGATGAATGGAGAGATAGAAGATGGAAGACAGGATACATACATAAAAGAATGGAAGGATGGATAGATAGATAAGTAGATGGCATGGATGGAGGTAGAGATAGAAGAGAAGAGTGCACACACTAGAAGAAATGGATACATATTTGGTTGGTTGGTTGGAGGGAGGGAGGGAGGGAGAGAGAGATAGAAAGAGAGATCACACTAAAAGGCATGGATGGATGGATGGATGGATGGATGGATGGATGGATGGACGGATTGATGGAGAGACAGAAGAGACAAAGTGCACACTTGAAGGCATGGATGGATGATAGGAGAGAGATAGAGAGAAAGAGAGAGAGAGAATGCAACGAAGGACATGATTTATGGAAGGATGGATGGAGAGAATATAAACAGATGGAGAGATAGATAGATGGAGAGATAGAAGAGAGAGAGCTAAAGGACAGGGATGGATGGATGGATGGATGGGCAGATGGACATGCATGCATGCATGGATGGGTGGAGAGATTGAAAAAGGGAGCTAGAAGACATGGATACATAAACAGATAAATAAATATGGATGGATGGATGGATGGATGGATGGATGGATGGATGGATGGATGCACAGAAGACAAGAATACTTGGGATGGATAACTGGATGATAATTAGATGGAAAGATAATAGATTGAGTAGATAAGGAATAGAGACAGAAATAGAGAGATGATATAAATGGAGAGAGAGAAGGTAGATACAGGAGATATTGCTATCAATAGACACGATAGATGGATGGATGGATAGATAGATAATAAGATATAGAAACAGACGGACATCTAGAGAGCTAATTGCCGGGCACTTCAGATTCATGCCTCCAGCCACGAGGAGGTTGTATCACTGGAGCTTCCAAGCCATCACAACATCTCCAACTCTAGGAAAGAAATCTCTCTAAACTTTTTGTCCAATGGGGAGACACTGCTGACCTTCCCTCCTTTTTATTTCTGTATCACTTCCATTTGTGCTGTCAATCACGGAGGGGGAGGGGGCACAAGGGACAACCCATCTTAACCTTCATCAGAAATGTATGGTTACTCACCTGTCCGCTGTAGCCACAGGTAAGGTGGGCTTCACAGGGCTGGTGGGAGATGGGTGTTCCTGCTTCTCAATTGTGAGCTTCACCAGCTCCTGGTTATCAACAGAACACAAGAAAAAAAATTATATATATATACCGTGTTTCCCCAAAAATAAGACTCTGTCTTATATTTTTCTGAACCCCAAAATAAGTGCTTGGCCTTATTTTCAGGGAGGTCTTATTATTTTGGGGCACGTGGAGAAAACCAGAGGAAATGGCAGGGACCAGGTTGCTTCTCTCCTTCATCAACCATTATTTCTTGTCCTGCCTTCTGGTGCTTTGGAGAATAGCTTGACCCCCTCTTCTTTGGGGCAGCCCCTCAAATATTGGAAGACTGCTATCATGTCACCCCTAATTCTTCTTAGACTAGCCAGACCCAAAATCTGCAGCCGTTCTTTGTATGGTTTAGCCTCCAGGCCTTTGATCCTCTTAGTTGCCCTTCTCTGAACTTTTTCCAAAGTCTCAACTGCTTTTTTGTCGTATGGTCCCCACAATCGGTTGCAGTATTCCAGGTGTGGTTTTATAAACGGCACTCATACTTCATGTGATCTTGATTCTATGCCTCTGTTTATAACAAGCCAGGATGGTATTAGCTTTTTTGGACATTCCTTCAACCATTCATCATACCATTTAGCCTTCAAACCTTTTATCGCCTTCGTTGGTCCTTACTCTCGAATTGGCCTTTTTAGTCACACTAGATGCTGTTTTAGGATCTCTTTCCAGAGCATGATACCATAGTCTTTTGAGACCGAAGGTTGCCAATGATGATCCTTACACACTCAAGGAGAGTAACTCAACAAGGGGGGGGTTCATGGGACACACCAAGCAGGCCCCATACCTTAACTCCATCCAGGACTGCCTTGATAACTCCCTTCACTGTATTCACCACCTCTTTGTCTTCGCAGTTGATGCCTTCAAGCATCACCTGATCGGACCATCGAATCAGATTCCCCAAGCTTTGATACACGCGGCTGTAACAGGAAGTGATGGCGGAACTGCAGAAGTGAAAGAAGAAGAGGTTAAGAAGGAAGACGAGGCCTTAGGTTTACGAATTGTCAGAACTCAGCAAGGCTGACATGAATTCCTCTATACAGGCAGCAGTTCCTTCTCTTTTTGCATGCTATTGAGTTTTATTCAAAGAAAGTTCAAAAATACATTAAATAAGAAAAAAAGTGTCTTAGGAAAAAAAAAACCCTAAAACATATAAACATAGAATCCTCCATGGTTGAATGTTGATTAATATAATACAGGCAGTGGTGTAACATCGCTCACGTCGATGGGCGCTTTGCCTTAGCTGTTACAATGTAACAAGGGTTAACCAGAGAGGCAGTTTCTGTAAGCAGGGCAATAAAGATTAGGCTAGAAATACCACCAGAATGTTTCCTTCCTGCCTTCCTTACAGGATTAGCTCTGTAAAGTGGAAAAAAACAAAATAAGATTTCTTCCAACAACTGGTTCTCTGAACTGCTTAGAAAGTTAACAACCAGTTCTCCTGAATAGGTGTGAACTGGCTGAATCCCACCCCTGAATACAGGTTAAGTTTCCAACCCCTGGCAAAAAAAGAGGGCAAAATAATTTTAAACGACTAAATCCGTTTTACGAATTGCTAGCCTGTCATCTGTATATTATATAAATAACAAAATGGGGGGGAAACAACAACAGTAAAATAGGATATAAAAGTAGCAAAGGTTATTAATAATAATAATAATAAAAGAAAGACAAAATTTACATTCCAAAAAGCCTCTGTTAACAAATTTGTTGTTGTAATCCACCTGTAGAAAATTTATCATGGCTTCAATCCTAGATCATCCTAAAAATTAACCCTAATTGGATCCTGGATCAAATATCCATGTTTGTTTCTTAATGCCGTCTCTTTGTCAGTTGCTGATTAATTAAATACAATAAATCCAGTCTCAACCTACGACTGCAATTGGGACTGGAACGGCTGTTGCAAAGTGATGGAGTTGTTATTGAGTCATCACCTGATTGTTCCTGATTTTACAACTACGGTCATTAAGTGGATCCGCAATCACACGACCCTGGGTTGCTGCCCCCATCGTAAATACATGCTAGTTGCCAAGCACCAAAACTGCAACAGTCATAAGTGTGAGGACCGGCTGTAAGTCACCTACTTCAGTGCTGCCATAACTGTTGGCTGCTAACCGAATGTTAATCAGTTGAGGGCTACCTGTATTTGTAACACCTCCTAATTTAAATGAGTGTCAAATTTCTGAATTTATACACTGGCATGCAGGGCAAAGCGGCAACAGCAGATGGCAGCACTTGGCTGATCTCGGAAAGTAGGGTCAATCCCTGGATGGGAGACTATCAGGAAATGTTGGGGTTGGACTAGGAAGTTGAAAAGAATATCCCCAAAGAAGGTAACGATAAACTACTTCCATATCGTGGCCAGAAAACAATATGGAGGAGCGGACACCATCTACCCAACATTGGCTGATCTTCAGCTAAGCTGGGATGGGCCTGGTTAGTCCTTGGATGAGTATCTACTAGGAAACCGAAGAGTTGTGAGCTAGATGGACAAGTTGAAAACATATCCAGGAAGAAGACAATGGTAAACTGTTTATTGCTGCCATGTCCAAGAAGCCACCAAGAGTTGAGTTTGGTCAAGGGAGACTTGACTGAGAGATAGGTAACCTTAAACCTGGACTAGGGGAAGATTCCCTGTGATGCTCCAGATGTTATTCAAGAATTATTCCCCACATCTGGCCTGTCTAATGGGAATGATCCAGAGCCACATACACACAGAGTCAACTATTGCTTCTTCTGGTAGATAAGCAAGCATGAGAAAAGACAATCCTGTACTATGTTCCTCTTGGTTGCTCTACCAGAAGCAAGCCACATCACTCCTTCTTCTTCTCAATTGAAAAGGACAAGAGTTTTATGACGTTAGAGCTCTGGATGGTGATTGATTGGCTGATCAGAACCATTCGAGAGGTCTATCAGTGGACTACCTGGTGGGATAGTCAAAGGGCTTTCTCCCTTTTAAGGAAGATGGCAATGGGCCAGCACTAGCAGGATAGGAGAGTCTAAGAAAAAGACCTCCAAGGATGAGGGAATGCCCAGAAGACATCTGGTAACATGATACATTAAGTGAAGAAAAGAACATAGACATAGAATCATTAGAGTTGGAAGGGACTCAAGAGGTCTTCTAGACCAACCGCCTGCTGAAGACAGGAGCCTTACACCATCCCAGTCAAATGGTTGTCTTGTCTATTCTTGAAGACCTCCAGTGATGGAGCACCCAGAACTCTAGGAAGCAAGCTACTCCGTTGATGAATTGTTCCCGTTGATGAATTGTTCTCACTATCAGAAAATTTCTCCTAATTTCCAGGTTGGAGCTTAACAAGCTTCCACCCATGGCTTCTTGTCCTGCCCTCAGGAGCTTTGGAGAACAAGTCAATCCCTTCTTCTCTATCGCAGTCCTTCAAGAACCGGAAAACAATGATCATATTCCTCCTAATCTTCTTCTTCGATAGGCTAGATATGCGTAACTAACTCCCTCGACCGTTTCATCCTAATCTTCAGAGGAAGCGACTACCCAGGAGCTACCAAATTCTCTGTCCAATGAACCTCCCAATCTCTGTTGTAGACTTTGGGGGAAGGGACCAAGTTCTCAATCCAACCTACTCAACCCCTCCGCGTCATGACTCACCTCTGCTGAATCCGTGGATCCGTCTGAACGAGAGGCAAGATGGCTTCCAGGACTTTGCTGGCTGATCCTGGCAACATCTCCAGCACTTTGTTATCAATGGCCATTTTGTCCACGATGGTCTTGAAGTAACGCAAGGCGCTCACGACGTCCTTCTCCTTCTCTTCCAGCCAACTCAAGTTCTGAGACCGAAAGAGCGTTTTTACAAAGGTTCCAATTCAAATGGCATGAACATCTAAAGACGTACAAACGATTTTCCATCCATTCATTCTGTTTATCCATCCATGGATCCATGGATCCATCTACCTACCCATTCGTTCTGTCTGTCTATTCATCCATCCATTGATTCTGCCTGTCAATCCATCTATCCATTCCATTGATCCATCTTCCCATTCATTTTCTATATCTATTCAAAGAATAGAATTGAATTCTTTATTGGCCAAGTGTGATTGGACATACAAGGAATTTGTCACTGGGGCATCAACTCTCTTCATCTATCCATCCATCCTTTATATCTGTCTGTCAATCTATCTGTCCATTCCATCCATCCATCCATCCATCCAGCCATTCATTCTACTTATCCATTTATCCATCCATCCATCCATCCATCCATCCATCCATCCATTTCTTTGTCCATCCACCTATCCACCTACCCACACCCACTGACACTATTCAGGTGACCTGAGGGCACAGATAAACTTCCAAGTGACCTCAACGATTCTCAGAGAGAGCGCTAATGACCAGAGGAGCGCAAAGTATATAAATCCTTCCACCCCTCCACCATTCAGTCAGAACTGAAGAAGCTTCTTGGGTGAGAAGCGAAACGTCTTCAAGGAAAAACAAAGTCCAGCGGCCTTTTGAAAAAGCACCTTTGGGGCAACCATATGACCTGGATGACTTGAGAATCTCCACAGCAGACTTCTAGAAACAGTTTTGCAAAGAAAACAGACCCTTTCCAATGGGAGAGATTCAAACTTTTAAACGATTTGCATCCCGCTAGCGCCGTGTTGGCGAACCTATGGAATGTGTGCCGGAAGCGGCACGCGGAACCATCCCGTGAGGAATATGCGGCCTCGATGGCTCCTCTTCCATGTTCCTGTGCACACGCGTGTGCAGGTCAGCTGGCCGTGTGGGAGCGGCAAAACCCAAAAGAGCAGCGTTTCATTGTGCATGTGCAGGCCGGCCCCCAAACATCCGGGTTTATGTCGCAGGCATGCGCTATGGCCAGCTGTTCGCCAGGAGCGCGTCCGTGCCGTAAACCAAAAGTTCGGGTACCGGCTTGCACATGCGCGATGGACCGTTACTCTTCCGGATATCGGCGCTCCCGCGCGTGTGAAGGCCAGTGGGGCCACGTATTCCTCGCGGGATGGTTTCGTGTGCCATTTCTTTACAATCCACACAGATTTTCAGGTGAAGGAAGAGGTCACGATATTCTAATGCAAATAATAATACACAACTGACTGCACAAATCTGGTGCCTTTTGTTCAAGAGGCACCAATCTGGCTGGGAGAGAGAGAGTGTAGTAGTTCCGTGTCCTAGAACAACCCCAGTTGAGGCAGGACGGACGGAGGAAATGCAAAGAATGATCTGGCTTCTTGCCCCCGTGTTCAACAAAGAGACAGGTGTCAGAGAAAGGCTGACAAAAGTATTTCCTCTCCAGCCAGCCTTGTGAGGTAGACCAGGCAGGAAACAGAACCAGAGAGCTAATTCTACTTTATTTTCAGGTTACGTGAACAGAACCTTCCAAGATTGAAAGCATAATTTCTCCTCCCCTGTCCTTTCTACAGCCGCAAATCCAGAGAAATAGAGGTGATATTCAGCCGGTTCGGGCGAATTGGTAGCGGAGATGGCGGGTGCCCCCTCGCTCCGGTGCTATGCTGTCCTATTTAGGCATGTTTTTCACGCCGGGAGCGTGCACGGAAGCCACACGTGTAAGCAAAGCAAAAGAAGGTGTATATTAAGCATGTTTGGGCTTTTCCTCCCGGGCTAACGACGCGACACCTGGCCTTTTGTTAACTATCTCAGTAGCATCTCCTCCCACCGATTCAAGAGACAAATCAAGGTTGTTAAAATGGATTAGGCTTCCAACTCCTCGGAGACCTTTTAAAAAAAAAAAACAGCTTGAGAAAGATGTCGATAAAAATCAGTCGGCAAATAGCCATCTTCTCCAACAGGGCTCCTATTGGCTGGGTCCCCCAGAATATGGGGAGGGTTAGTAGGAACTTCAAAAAAAAAAAAAAGATGGCAAGGAATATAAATCTTTCCACCTTCCACCATTCAGTCAGAACCGAAGAAGCTTCTCGCATGAGAAGTGAAATATTTTTTTAAAAAACCCCAAAGATGGCAAGGAATATAAATCCTTCCATCTTCTACCATTCAGTCAGAACCGAAGAAGCTTCTCGCATGAGGAGCGAAACATTTAACGTTCGCTTAATGACTGTGGTGTTTGCTTAACAACCGCCGTGTTTGCTTAACGACAGCGGCGGTCACTTAACGACTGCTGCAAAAGAAGATCACAAAAATCAGGTGTGGTCACGTGTGTTGCTTGGAACCCTGACGACGTGATGATCTGTTTAACGACAGCCACGACTTACAAACGTATTCCCAGGCTCAATAATACGTCGTTAAGTGGAGGACTACTGTACTTACCGGGTACCCCTCAACTCACTCGCTCAGGAAGGCCGCCAGCTTACCTTGTTCACGACCTTTTCGGGGGATTTCACCACTAGGTCAGGCTGCTTTCCTTTCTTCGATGGCGTCCTTTTTATTTTGGGCGAGTGGAATTTGTCCTTTAGTTTCATGGTGAACGAAGAGAGATGAGAACGCTGAGAATCTAGCAAAAAATAAAAATAAAAAAAGGAGAACAAAATCACGGTAAATAAATCGCAGCCGGACAAACCATGATGAACCAAATGCACGAATAGGCCAGGATGTGCCTGACATCTGTCTTATCCGCTGAGCCACCTAGTCAGGTTCTCCTGCTTGAGAAGGGGTTGGACTAGAAGACCTCCCAAGGTCCCTTCCACGTCTGCTGTTCTGTTATTATTCTGTATTCAATCTTTGCACATCCCCCCGGCAAGAATAGGAAGAATAGCTTCTCCGGCATGCTGCAAGTGTGGGAATGGTAGTGGGACATACCACCACCAATGGTGGACATGCCCCAAAGCAGGCAAATATTATCCAAAGTTCGGAACTGGATAGTGGAAGTTACAGGATATAACTTAGAGCTGAAACCAGAGATTTTTTTTTATTAGGAATGAAACCAGACAAAACAACAAAGGAAAAATGGTACTTGATCCTCCACATCACTACTGCAGCTAGGATAATATACGCACAAGAATGGAAAAAATGAATTAAGACCCACGGAAAATAAATTGATTTGGAAAATTACAGAATGCGCAGAGGCAGACCGGTTAACGAAATTACTTAGGAACCAAAAGGATACCGATTATTACAAATGCTGGGATTCATGGTATAATTGGGTGAAAGAAAAGAGAGGGAAATGAAATGGATTGTATTAGTGGTATAGGAGCATATTTGTGTACGTTAGTTGCAATAACCTTGTATCTATATAGGTAAAGTATTGTATTTTTAAAAATGAAAATAAACTTTGATTTAAAAAAAAAAACACTAGCGTGTCTGTGGCACAGACGGATTCCAATGGTTGAGTCACGGCCTTCCCCAGGATGTAAAGTTTGCATTGCCCTGAGCCAACGGGGGCTTCACTTTTGACAAAAGGGTGGGTGGGGGGAATATCAGCTGATGATTTCCAGAGAAAAGGACTGGGGTGGGGGAAAAGAGGGGAGAAAGAGAGAGAGAAGGGATTCAAAGCAGAGATTTGCCTCTGACTGCTGCCATCCATCATCCCTGGCTAACGTTTTGACGTCTGCTTGGGTACAAGTCTGTGGAATCCTTCCAGGAGGTAAGTTATGCCAGAACATGACGCCTGCTGGAGGGAGGTTGCTGGGAAGTCACTGGATGAATTAACGGCACAAGTGAAAGGGAGAGGGAGGGAAAGCGGGAGGAAAAGGAGAAAAGGGAGAGAAGGATCAGAGGAGGGAGGGAGGAAGGAAAGGGAAAACGAGGAAAAAGCAAAGAAAGAAAAAGAAAGAAGGGAATGGAATGGAATGGAAAGAAGGGTGAGAGAAAAGGAGAAAAGGAAAGAAAGATGAGAGAGAGAGAGAAAGAAGGAAGGAAGGAAGGAAGGAAGGAAGGAAGGAAGGAAAGAAAGAAAGAAAGAAAGAAAGAAAGAAATAAGGGAAGGGAGGGAAGGAAGAAGAAAATAAGGAAAGGGAAAGGGAAGGGAAAAGGAAGGAGGAGACAAAAGGAGAAAATGAAAGAGGGAGAGAAGGATCAGAGGAGGAAGGAAGGAAAGGGTAAACAAGGAAAAAGAAAGAAAAGAAAGAAAAAGAAAGAAGGGAATCTAAAGAAGGGTGAGAAAAAAAGAGAAAAGGAAAGAAAGATGAGAGAGAGAGAGAAAGAAAGAAAGAAAGAAAGAAGCAAAGAGAGAAATGAGGGCAGGGAGGGAGGGAAAGAAGGAAGGAGAAAATAAGGAAGGAGAAAGGGAAGGGAAAAGGAAGGAGGAGACAAAAGGAGAAAAGGAAAGAAAGGAGAGAAAAAAGAGAGAGATCAGAAGAACAGAGGAAGGAAGGAAGGAAGGAAGGAAGGAAGGAAGGAAGGAAGGAAGGAAGGGAGGGAGGGAGGGAGGGAGGGTAATTCAACATCCGTCCCCACAAGGATTAAGGTTTGAATTGATAATAAATTGTCTGGGCTGGCAATCGCATTGATTTCTGAAATTTATACATAGCTTCCCACTTTAAAAGGCCCCTGAGAACGTTTAAAGAAGAAAATTGACAAACTGTGGCTCGGGAATACAAACTGAAAATTTGTCAAAATGACGCCGTTCTTTTCACCTCACCGGCCAAAAGAGGACCTTCTACAGGTTAGTCCTCGCCTTACGACCACAAGAGAGCCCAAAAATGTATGTGGCTAAGCGAGACATTTATTTAGTGAATGTTGCCCCGTTGTACGGCCTTTCTTGCCACAGTTGTTAAGTGGATCATTGCACTTGTTGAATTAGTAACAGGGTTGTTAAGCGAACCCGGCTTTCCCCATTGACTTTGCTCGTCAGAAGGTCGCAAACAGAGATCAAATGACCCCGGGATATTGCAACCGTCATAAATACGAGTCAGTTGCCAAGCATCTGAATTTCGATCATGTGACCACAATTAAGCGTGATAAACGGTCCCAAGTCACTTTTTTTCAGTGTGGTTATAACTTTGAACAGTCACTAAACGGACGATCACAATGGGCTGTTTCGCATCATTTATATTTATTGATTCATAAAACATGTTTCTATGGCTTTCCCAACTCCAGTATCACAATATCACCCCAAAAAAAAGGGCAAATAGTCCTCCAGAACAATCCAGAATGTTCTGGAAGACTATTGAAGTGTTTGCATTTTCTCCCCTGCCCCCCTCTTTTGTGGTGAGAAGGTTGGTGGCTTCCAAACAAGTCTTTAAAAAGAAAACATTAACTTTGAGGGTTTGTAGCGTGAGATTGTATGGATTTCCTGCCTGGAATGAATAGGAAATTATTCTGTCATATGAGGAGAATGAGGTTCTGGAGAAGGTCAATTGGATTGTTCAGCTCGGGCCTTTTAATGGGCTGGACAACAAGTTGAAAATTGACTCTGCTTGAGGGGATGTGACCAACCTCATTGGAAGTCCTGCTTTGATTTCTGAAGCTTGAAGCTAATCTGGGAGGTCAGAGAAGGCAACCACGGGCTCCGTTGACCATCAAGTGACTCAGAGAAGGCAACCATGGTCTCCGTTGACCATCAAGTGACTCAGAGAAGGCAACCATGGTCTCTATTGACTATCAAGTACCCAGAGAAGACAACCATGGTCTCATTGACCATCAAGTGACCCAGAGAAGGCAACCATGGTCTCCGTTGACCATCAAGTGACCCAGAGAAGGCAACCATGGTCTCCGTTGACCATCAAGTGACCCAGAGAAGGCAACCATGGTCTCCGTTGACCATCAAGTGACCCAGAGAAGGCAACCATGGTCTCCGTTGACCATCAAGTGACTCAGAGAAGGCAACCATGGTCTCCGTTGACCATCAAGTGACTTAGAGAAGGCAACCATGGTCTCCGTTGACCATCAAGTGACTCAGAGAAGGCAACCATGGTCTCCGTTGACCATCAAGTGACCCAGAGAAGGCAACCATGGTCTCCGTTGACCATCAAGTGACTCAGAGAAGGCAACCATGGTCTCCGTTGACCATCAAGTGACCCAGAGAAGGCAACCATGGTCTCTATTGACCATCAAGTGACCCAGAGAAGGCAACCATGGTCTCCATTGACCATCAAGTGACCCAGAGAAGGCAACCATGGTCTCCATTGACCATTGAGTAACCCAGAGAAGGTAACCATGGGCCGGTGTGCATGCGTGCACTGGAAACCCGAAGACCAGCTAGCCGACACGCATGCACGCTCGTTCCGGTTTGGGCACTCAGTGCCAAAAAGGTTCACCATCACTGGTCTAGCCTATCGAAGGGAAGGATTGGGGTGGGTGGGTGGGAGGCATGATAACTGTCTTCCAGTACTTGATGGGCTGTCACTGAGAAGAGGGGGATTGACTTGTTCTCCAAAAGACCAGAGGGCAAGACAAGAAGCAATGGATGGAAGCTTGTTAAAGAGAGATCCAACCTAGAAACGAGGAGAAATTTTCTGACAGTGAGAACAATTAATCAGTGGAATGATTTGCGTTCTGGAGTCGTGAGTACTCCATCACTGGAAGTTTTCGAAAATAGACTGGACAACGATTTGACTAGAACGGTATAAGGCCCCCTGCCTTGAACAGGAGGTTGGACTAGAAGATCTCCAAGGTATCTTCCAGCACTCTGATCTCTTGAACTGAATTAAGTAAGTAAGTAAGTAAGGAGGGAGGGAGGGAGGGAGGGAGGAGGGAATGAAGGAAGGAAGGAAGGAAGTTCAAAGATACTGAGAAGAAGTCAAACCAAGCAACTGAAACCAGGAATGCTTTGCCTGGAGATATGAAGATGGACCGGAGAGGTCATCAACATCTGAAGGGCCATCACCATCTCAGAGTCAAACCAGGCTGACGGAAAACATCAGATTTTAAATCAGCACGCATCCCAAGCGTGTCCCCTGGGGAAGTCTGACTGAGGAGCAAAGGTAAACCACAGAAGATGACGCAGGTACTTAAGAATGAAGTGCCCGCAGGGGTTTGGAGGGCAAGCACCAGCTTGGAGAGACACACCTTCCCGAAAACTAGAAAAGGAACGCCTGGAGCTGAATCTTGTTTAGAATCTGATAGCAGCCTTCCAGTATTTGAGGGGCTGCCACCAAGAAGATTATTCTCCAAATTATTCTCCAAAGAACCAGAAGGCAGGACAAGAAGTAACGGATGGAAACTAATCAAGGAGAGAGATTCAACCTAGAAATAAGGAGGAATTTTCTGAGCGGGAGAACAATCAACCAGTGGAACAGAAGTTGCCTTCAGAAGTTGTGGGAGCTTCATCATTGGAAGCTCTCAAGAAACTGGATTGCCATCTGTCAGAAATGGTGTAGGGTCTCGTGCTTGGGTGGTGAAGGTTGGACTAAGAGACCTGGAGGTTAGGGGACTGGAGACTAAAACATATGAAGAACGGTTACAGAAACTGGGCATGGCCAGTCTAGTGAAGAGAAGGACCAGAGGAGACATGATAGCCGTCTTCCAATATTTGAGGGGCTGCCACAGAGAGGAGGAAGGGGGTCAAGTTATTTTCCAAAGCACCCGAAGGCCAGACAAGGAATAACGGATGGA